TGGATATCCTTTAAATGGCATCATAGACACACTAGATATATGTCCTGGAAAAAAATCCTATAGCTACCAAATGGTACATGCCCTTGGGACACCCAGCAAAGAAGGAAAAAACGAGAAAGGAAGATTTTAGGCTTTGTCTGGATGCAGTGCATACATAAAATGTTTTCTCGTTAGACAGTTTGTCATTTTAAATAAGAAATTTACCTAATCTATTGAATCTTGAATCTACCTAACCAAAGGTTCACATTGACAGTCTTAGTATTACAATGTGTCAATCTGTCAAGCAAGGCAACATTTCTTTATGTATTTGTATATTTCCTATTTTACTTAGATATGGTACTATGTTTTGGGTCATGGTTTTAATAAGAAATTATTAATTTTTGGTTTTGGTACAATGGATGCTAGAAATCCAAAGAAGAAAGAGACTAAATGATTAAATTTACTTATACTAATTTAATTTGGGTGATCATTTTCTCATTCTCCTTTTGTCTGCTTACACTCCTTTTTGTTTTTTTAATATTTTTTATTATAACATAAAAGAGAGTGTAAGTGAATAAAAGAGACGTGAGAACATACAATTTTCAACAAATGGAATGTAAGTAGACAAAAGGGGAGTGGGAAAATCAGTTCCCTTTAATTTACTCAAAATACTATAGTGTAAAACAATGTTTTATGTGTTCACATAAGAAATAAATCCACAAACAAACAAACCGCAAGGTGTGGTGCAGTTGGCAAACTACCACCTTCAACTGGTGAATTACCTAGTGCCTCAATGACAGGGGTTCGAAACCCGTTTGAAGCACTTTGTGGTCAAGGACAAACCAAACCCTGAGCGGGGATTAATCCCACCATTCAGATGTGGGGACACCTCGTGGTATTTACCCAACATAAATCCACAAACAAAGGACTAGCATATACTTCATTAATCAATTTCATTTATCATACAACAAATTATAATTGACAAAGAAACAACCTGAAATTTATACAAAAATAAAGTCATTTTGTTATGTCAACCACTTCAAAATTTTCTTCTTTTTTAAAGTCTTGGGTAATTTTAAAAAAAATCTACTTGAAGAATTAATGGATCTATTAACTAAGTAAATAATTCAAATTCAAGTAATGTAAACGAGTGGAAACAAAAGCCCTCCATAATATTATTAATCATGTGTCTCTTTAACAAACACCAAACTGAGTTCATTAATTTAAGCAAGAAACATAAAGAAAATTAAAATCCCATGCACAAAAACATGGATATGTGTCCGGAAAATTCCAACAAAATACTACTAATAAACCAAGCTAGCTGGAGGACTTTCTATATGAAATTTCACATGAACCTGAAGGAGGGCCCAGCTGGGTCATGCAGATCACCATCATCATCATCATCATCATTATTGATCATGTTAATTAAGCGGATTCATGGCCATGTGATCATCCATGTCCATACCCAAATGATTCATTTCAAAAGGGTCGATGAATGTGCCCATATTAGGCATGTCCAAATCATTCATCTCCACAAACGACTGTCCAGGCCAGCCATATTGGTTCAGATCATCAGCAGGTTGGTTCGGCATCAGAGTGTCAACCAGGCCAGCTGGCCCGGTGAATTGATCAGCAAGTCCAAGCCCAAATCCAGGCTGGTCCAGACCCAAATTGGCCATTTGATAATCTGGTGGAGGGTTGAAGTCCATTTGATAATCTGGAGGGTTGAAGGCCTCAGCTGCTCCTTGTTGTAGAAGAGCTTGATGGAGCTGCTTCAAATAGTCTCTCTCCTTCACCAGTGCCTCATGCTGAGCTGCATATACCCAAAGATTTAAGTTTAACCCTTGGTTATGTTCATTCATGTATGTATCAAGAAAATTTGAAATAATATGCCGATGTTTTTGTTTCGCAAATGATCAATTGAGATTATACAAATAACAAAAACGGTGTTTAGATTTGGATAGAGAGAGAGAGAAGAGAAACCTTGTTTGAACTTAAGTTCGTCAGTATAGGCAGCAAGCTTTTGTCTCATTGCATGGTTTTCCGCTCTCAGCAACTTATTACGATGACACGCATATTTGACTCTCGGAATGTTGACAGCTATTTCAGTCTGCACACATGATGTATATATAAAATCCCACATCCATGTAGCAAACTCTTTTTTTATGTGTGTGCAAAGGATCAACACTTACATGCATATATAAATTAAGTGGAACAACGGAACAACACATATAATTAAGGAGAATTTATGTCGGGACGAACGAGATGCAAGTTACCTGGAGTACTTTCACTTCGCTTTCGAGTTTCGTAACATATGCAGCCTGCTTGATCCGATACCTGAGTGAATACTCTCTGCTAGCCAAAACCCTAGAGAAAACAGATCAAACATTTTTAAAAATTATTGGATCTAGAAAAAGACAGAAGGAAAATGCATGTTTCTTGAGCGGATCTTTACAGTATAATTAGATTCTTCATGTTTTAAGTTTTATGGAATGTCAAAGTCTGACTTGTACTTAAGTACAAGATATTGAGCCTCTCCACCTATTACCAATTAATTTCGGGTTGGATCTTATAATTTTAACAAAAAGGTCAAAATTCAAATTTCCAACCGCGGTTTTAATTTCTTAAATATTTAGGGAAAGGAGATCTATGGTAAGAAGGCTAGATAATAAACTTTTTCTGCTGCTTGGCGTCCATCTCTTCAAGGTCATCATCCTCTAGATCAACAATCTGGATCTCAAAGTTGGGCTCATGAGTAGTTTCTAGTGCTAGTGCAAGTCCTTTGGTTTTGTCAGCTGCGTTACCACTGATATCATAGGATGGTGGTGCCAATGGGATAATGGGAGAGTTGGCGCTTGAGCTCTGCCACCCTAGATGAGAGGGTGGCAGAGGTGTCAGTGGGGGAAGCTGGGAGTTTGTGTTCTTGTTGAAGCTCTCCATTTGTATCTTTGTCACCTGAAAAAGCCAAGCAGCCAAACAGATGTTAGCCAAAATGACATTAATTATAACCTAGAAAACCAAAGCCTAGAATGTTATTACTCATATGATACCAACATTACAAAAGAAAAATGATTAGAGCAAGTGAGTATTAGGGTTCTCTATATGTCCCTTTTTATAGATACTAAACAAAAAGAAATAACAAGAGAATCTTGGATATGAACAAGCTATAGTTTCTCTAGTTGTCTTGTTTTTACTTTCATTTTAATCAAAATTACCATTTTTACTCTCTTGGCTCCATATAATTATATATCTTAATTAATTCTTATATTTAAGTAACATGGGATCGTATAAGTTGAAATAAAATCAAAATTATAGTGACTTTTGAAACACGTATGATCGTAAGTAAAAAATCGAAATTTAGCAACTAATTTTGTCAAAATGAACTATTTGTTTTGACTGAATAGTTTTGACAATTAATTCTAATCCGGATCAATTGATTTGTTTTTTTTACTATACTACTAGGGCTACATCTTTATCTTTATTTTCATTTCTTGGAGTATATATATATGTTTTCTAATATAATTTCTACACATGGTATATGACACACTACATATACTAATTAAGTATTTGGTTCAAATACATTTTTCTCAATGGTTTGGTATTTGTCACAATTGGACTAGTAAGGTGAGCATGCATTAAGGTTATGCCCCATAGACTGCTAGAGTTTCCAATGTAAATTTGTGTTTGGTATCAAATATTTTAATTACAGGGTACAAATTTTTGTATTCTCGATAACTATGATTGCCTTGTAAAAAATTATATACTTAATTCGATTACCTTGTAAAAATTATATACAATGGGCGCACGCAATAATTTCTCTACATACATGCAAAGTATAAGCTCGTGCAGAGTATCGGTTCATGAGCCATGTAGAATAGTTCACACTTACTATGTATATTAGATTCATGAATAATTGCAATATTCTTGTGCCGCCAAACAAATGCTTATATTTTCACATTGCCAGTTTGTACCACACACATTCTTGCAATAATTAATATGATCAATGATCCAGATTCAGAATAGACAGTTTGGAGACATAAAATACTTATATATTGTCATACTGTGAATTTCGATCATTGCTTAGATCAATACTTTTTGAATATTTGATTCGTATATTCAGTATCTAGCAAGATGAACATTCCATACTGCCAGACTGTCTATTGAAAGGGCATTACCTTAGATAGAAAACACTAGCTACATTGCTTTGTGTCTTCCCCCTTCTCCTTCTTATTATGCAATTTGTATGATAATCGAAATTGTTCATTTTTAAGGTCATTCATGAAAAAGATCAGTCAAATTGAAAATCATTTTTGCCATTTGATTAATAGTGTGATAATTCATTGTCTAATCCAAACACCAGGGTTCGTCTATTTATTCGAAAACAGTTCGATGGCCAAATGATTTTTTATTTGTCTGATGTTTTGCATAAATAATCTTTACTGGTGACCTAGAAGATAGACGGTTTTGATCATCAAACCACATAATAGAAAAATGTATAAAGGGCAAAGTAGATAGCATTCTCTTACCCTATATATATAAGTATTTTGATTTTTTTTTTAAAAGACATATATAAGTAAAATACTTAATATATATTCCCTGAAAAAAGAAATCACCGCTCGACATGTTGCTAAGAATTAGAGCATCCAATTTAAAATCAAATAGTTCCTTACGTGGGTTGCTCATGTGCAAAGGTGGATCCACGCTTGAGTTAGAGTGGGCTCTAGCCCAGTACTGACTTGTTAGGCTCTAGCCCAGGAAAATTAAATAATAGCCAACCCATCTCGGGAGAAATTATAGAATGATACGGTAATACCACAATTACAGCCACGTGTCAAATACAACTGCGTCAGCGTATACTCCCATTCAAACGGATAACTTTACTGGAGGTGGCAATGACTAATTTTACACAGCATAACGGTCTTACACTAATTTTTCTCTAAAAGTTTATAGTACAAGTGGAATTTACACAAAAACAAACAAAATTTATATATATATATATATATTTTAAAAAGGCTAGTGCAAAAAGGGGAAGGGTAAGTTGGTTCAGAGCATTTGATAGGAGCAAAAATGCACTCTTGCCGCGCCTTAGATCCAGTAGGCATAGGCACACCATGTTCGTTTCCGTGCCAGGTAGGACACCTACTTCGACCGTCTTCTACCTTTAGACTTGGTCTTCTTCTTCTCACTCCCAAATCAATCTCAGACATTACCTCCTACTCTCTCTTCGCTGGCACACTCAGATACCCACTAACAACAACCACCACCAAGCATCGGAGTCCTTGCCGCCAAGTGACGTCAGCTCCCACTATGCTTCCTCAAAACCCGGTCGTCGCTGATATTTGCGCCACCTTCATTGCCGGTGGTGTTGCTCTGTTCTTCCTTCTGTTGTGGGAAGAGACCGCCAAACGTGGGGTCTTCGACCAGGTCAAAATCACATCTTTCTCTTCTCTTTTGGGTACCCAGTGTAACGCGTATTTGTACGTGTTTGTATACGTTTTCTGTTTCGATATACAATTTTTCGTCTAATTTGGTGGGTTGTGTTGGGTTCTGATTGATTTGTGGGAAAACACTGATTTTGTTGATAATTAAGAACCATAGCTAAAAGATTTTACAAAATTGGTTAAAAATTGAAACTGTAAACCTCACCTCAATTAGTGTACTGACAACTTCCAAAAGATACTATTTATGCTTAAGTATACCAGAAATATAATTGGTTGTACCACTAAAGGTGCTGCTGATGTGAAGAATGGGGAGCAAAAGCATGCCACATGTAGCAGGATTGAATGTTGTTGCTTTTTTGTTAAAAGGGGCTGCTAGCATTTTCCTATGCAAGTAATAGCTGAAGAGTGAGCTTGTATGAACTTAACCAGTGAGTGTTTGCTGGTTCACTGTCTGTGTGCCTGTAGTAGTTATCCCTGCTGAAAGTGCTTTCAGATTATTCATCTTTTACCATCTTTTGATAGCTGATTTTAGTGGGTTTGCTAGATTGTCTGTCTGCTAGGGAACTTAAGCTACAGCAAGGGGATCCACTGTCATTAGGTCTCATTATACCTCAAACAAGGGAGTGATCAATTGAGATGGAGTGTGATAGATGGTTTTACAATCGAGGAGTTGTATCAGTATTTACAGTTTTGTCGTCTGCAAGATCTCATCCCTCTAATTCTTAGCCTCAATAGGGACATGCTTGCTCGTGTAAATTTATCGCTTTTAGACTTTTGCATGCCTTTTGCC